CAAGTTACGGGGTCGAGCTGAATCTATCTGAATTTATACCGATATGGATGATCCACAAAGAGAGCCAGATCTACCCAAACTTTGTGGTCACTGCAGATGCGAAGGTCATAACAGAAAACATTGTCCATATCTTCCAAAAATCAAGTTGGATGCTAAAATAGTCGTTACGAAATATTATGTACTTTAACTATGTATTTTTTGTATTGTAACTATGTCTTTTTTAACTATGTTTTTTTAACTTGTATTATTTGAACCATGTTTTATAATATTTTGATATAAAAAATTAAGGAAAATGTTTTTGGTCTTAATTGAATTTGTTCAAAGTCTTCAAAAGTTTTCAAAAAATAATTCAAAGTTCACATATAAAGTACCGATAATATTATGACAGTATCGATATTATATGAACAATACCGATATTGTAACACCTTCAACCTGTACCCAACCCGGATACGAGTTTGAGATGTCATATTGACTTTTCAAAACCTTTACTTGTACATAATAATAAAATTTCACACTAATATTAAATAAAACTTCATATTATTCCAATAAAAAGGTTTACAAAATTTATCAAGCGTATATAATTCAAATCTCTTATTTATATGCCAACTACATTCGTATAACAAAATATATATTAATAAAAGACTTTTTTGATCTGATATCCAGAAAGGAGAAGCTGACCTGTCTTGCTCCTTTGTGCTCCTCAGACTTCTTGAAACCTACGTGTGAAACACTCACACACTAAATCTATGACTTAGTGAGGCATATAAAACATATAATGTAAACTATAACTCCTAACGATACATGCATATTTCATACTATTATATCATACAACATCATATACCCTTTCATATAACAAATACATACGCACACATATATCATCAGTTACATTTTTAGCATCATTCATATCATCATATCATAAATGATCGTATACTAATTCATGTTCTTATAATCATTTATATCTACACCACATAGCTTGTATCATATTCTCATGTTATCATTTAAATCATTCTATTTACATAATTCATGATCATATAATATCTATCACAAGGTCACATATCTTATCTCTTGTTTTCATATGTTCCTATTTATCATATAACCAACAGATTCTCATTGCATATTTTATATCATATTCTTGGATACTGATTTTTTATATTATACTAGTTCATGTTCACAAAGCTTGTCACATAGACATATATTTTCATAACTTATTATTACCTAATTCCTATAATATTCTCATATGATTTCTTGGATCCTTGTACTATATTTCATATTACCTAAGAGTTTAACCAATTTTAGATCATAGTTTCATTTAAACATATAGACTTTCATATACAACTTATCTAATATATTATTATACTTATTTATATACATGTTTCCTAGTTGATATATTATTCTCACATTATCCTGTAATTCAATACTACTTATTTTATCTCAATTCTCAATTAATCATATAATTCCATTATATTAGTTCACATACAAAGTATATTCACATAATACAATCATATAGTCAACCACCTCATTACCTATACATATACTTATAGTGCTCATAACATTTCTCATGTAATCATTTATATCATGTCATATATCTTACACTTTATTCTCTTATATTCAAATATATCATGCAAACATTTTTTTCACATAGATAATCTAATATATGTAATACATGTAACCTACATACTCATATTCAAGTACTCAACCACACATATAACAATCATACCAAGTTTATTTATATTATCTCTTTATTAGCCCATTTATACTTCTGAGAACTAAAGATATTCAAGTACATAGAGGTTGTGCACATATGTTGTCACCACAGCTCGTATAAAGTCCCACTAGGGGCATATGAATTTGTCCCGAATGACAGCATAGAAATATCCCGAAGGACCATATAGATGTCCCGAAGACCACATATAACATATATGTCCCGAAAGACCACTCCTTAAGGATTACATACATATTCCAATTGACCAAATAGGTGTACCGAAGTACCACATATATGTTCCAAAAGATTACATATATGTCCCGAAGGACCACGTAGAACCCTCAACTCTTGGCATGCAAACTATACCCCTAGCTCTCATAACACATAACATGGCATTATCATTTATATTATTTCACATTTCACATAGGCACGTAGTTCACTTACACATAGTATATTTCTATATAATTCACATATCACATATCACGTGACTTATATATTATTCTTATGTCTTCTTATAGACATATTCACATGACTCGTCACATATACGTATCTTATTTCACATTTTCATGTATCACATATATCTTGTCACATGACTTATCTCTTATGATCATATAATTACATAACTTATATTATATTCTCATATTATCACATAATATTATGTTTACATAAATCATATAGCTACAAACAATAACATATCAACACATATAATCAGGCATACATACAAATCATATAATTCACATGCTTGTATTTATGACTTCATGCACTATAATTATAGGAAATAGACTTATCGCAAGTCCAATTTCCATATACTCCCATATCAAAATAAAATGCACTCACATGGCCTCATAGTCAATACCGATCTCTTATCTCTTTCTCGATGATTATTACTTGGACGACTTGTTTGGACTTTACTCTCGATCGTTATCTACACAATCATACATTTGATATGCATATCAGAATTCTAAGTATCATAGTTTGATCCTTAATAACTCAATGTTGAAAGAAAGGCTTAATACAATTTTCCTTTTGAATAGTATCGGTACCCTATGTATGGTACCGATACTTCTTAGTTGTGGTATCGATACCAAGCCTGGGTATCGATACCCATTTTCGATTTTGTGATTTCATTGCAAAAAATGGTACTGATACCTCCCCATTGGTATTGATACCCATGGTACCGATACTACCACTTCAGTATCGATACCCATAAATATTTATCCTACCTTTTTCCTTATGGTATTGATATTGTTCATGCAGTATCGATACCATACGCATAATTATCACCTATTTTACCTTGTAGTATCGGTAGTAGTATCAATACTCACTCAACCAGTACTGATACTACTAACCCAGAATATACTTCTTTAACCCGAAATTATCAACACTTTACCCAAACTTTCCTTATTTAGCTCTCTTTATGCCTTAAAACTCAACTATAGATACTTAAATAATCTTTAAGCAATATAACACCTCATTATCTTCAATATCTCACTAAAACTCTTGAAATTAAGAATCTTTCTAAACTTTCAAGGTGTTCTAAATCCATTTCTAATACTTTATACTTCTTAATCCATCTTATGACAAGTCAAATTCATCAACAAAACTTCAAAAACTATATTATATCAATAATTCACTTCTACACGCTTATTACAATTTCTTTTCTAATTCTCTTCTCTTGTTGTTTTAATCTTATATAAGCTTATATAACACTCAAAGAATAAGAACCAACTTAAAGATTCAAGAAATAAACAGTTATACCCAAGTCACCTTTAAGCTGGAGCTCTTCAGCAACGAGAAGAAGATAACAATGTTCCAGACTTCTCTTTTTCCTTTCTCCCATTATCCATGTATTTATATCCCTTAAAAAGAGAAAAATAAAAATATTCTCTTAGAAAATACATCATACCCTTATTACTTTCACACTTTACTATTAAATCCAACATCAAAATTCTCCAGTTAAGTCTCTGAACTTATCAATTTTTTGAAATCAGGCCTCAAAATTTCTGAACTTACATTTTAGTCACTATCCCTGATTTTGGGATGTTACAGATATTATTCATGTGGTGTCGATACCCTAAGTAAGAGAAGTATTAATATTATCTAGGTAGTATCGATACCACCAACTTGCTCAAATTACAGAATGCAAAATAGGTATCGAATACCCAAAAAGGTACCGATACAACTTTACATAGTATTATCGATACCATGGTCACGTATTGATGCCATCAGCTCTAAAGGCTAGTAACAACTAGTTTTATTTAAAAAAAAAGTATGATACCCATACAAGGAGTATTGATACTTATTGTACTTTTATAAACTGCATAAATATGAATGTAATTTTTGTAATTAATTTTTTTTACTTATCAATGATTTTTTATACAATTAATATTGAGTACAAAAACTTAAATAAACAAATTTATTACTTATATTTGTTCAATTCTTGCCGATGTCGAGGAGTGGTAGAATAGTAATGACGTGGTGCTCATCGATTTCGTTGTTGTTGTCCACATTTGTCAATTTCGTCTTCTTCCGGTTCCGGTGTACTGAATATTACTCTACCACTTTGATTTACATCTTCGGGTGAAAATGATAGAGTATTCAAGGTATTTGACGTCATCGCCTCAAATTGAGATTGTACGTGATGAAGAAGATGATCCCATGGACCTCTTTCTTCTGATTAGGAGGAAAATTATTGTGAAGGTGGCACTTGATCCCACCCACTTCCTTCCCACGCCGCTCGACTCTCAATCGATGGTTGATAAGCACCATATCCACCATAACTTTATTGTGATAGATAATAATTGGAGGAAGCCTAAGATGAAGATATTGATGAAGATGATGATTTTCCCCATATTTTGTCTTCATTATTTTCCACTCGGATCGCTCTTCTAGCGTTGTCAAGTATTGTTTCCCATTTGCTTCATAATTTGGAGGTAGAAAGAAACATTGAAATCAAAATCAAAATCTTTGGGTTGTACCTTGGAACGATTAGGCAATCATAAATGTCTATTTTGCCATTGATGTATGAATGTAGCATGCTTCCTCATCCAATCTTCGCTATGCTTCCCACACACATCTATTTTATGTAAATCGTCAATGTTAATTATGGACATTTCTATCGGTTGGTAAAACCCAACTTGTCACGAAACTCTATTGGCAGCATGTATCTCAATAATTGCAAAATGGAGCAATGGTGTTACGGCATATCATGTCGCTGCTCATTCAAAGAACATTGGCGGTAAACACTGTTGGATATCCGACTCATAATAAGGCATCTAATTAAACTGCCAAAGTATTATGTTAGTATAATTAAACAATTAATATTACAATTTCAAAGTTAATGCAAAAAATATTAAAATTTATTGCATGTCTACCGGCAATATCAATCCTTATCGGAATATCTACTTTGGTTGCAACCCGATAACTTTGTATCGGTTATTCGATGTTGCCATCTAAAAAAATTACATTATTTATTGTCATTTTCAAAATATTTAAATAAATATTATAAATATCAAAACTTTAAATATATGAATTTACCTTGCGGTGAGAGGAAACTCCATAGGAGCGAATGTAATAGGCGTTATAAATGGAGACGATACCACTCCCATAATTGGAGCAAAACTAAACAAACCGCTATATCCACTTTTTTTCCTTTAACGACTACGGTCTCCTTACAGAGTTCACGATACAAAAAAGCCAAAATTGCATAACCCCAACTATATTGGCGACATACAACAAAATCCTCCATTACCGGAAGATATTGGGTGTGCACCAAATTGCCCAATGTATCTGGTAGCAAGATCTCTCCAATCAACGTCATAAGATATGCTCGAGCTCCATATATACCTCTTGCTCCATTGATTGTTCATATACTCTAAATTCTCTATCCAATCACGTTATTTGTATCAGTAACCCATCAATGACATCGGTTGGAGCTTCTTTTCCCAATAAATTTGAAATAACAACATTTAGCGAATAAGTGTTACGAAGCACCAATATCATATCATTAATCGAAACGCCAAGTTGATACATGATATCTTCCAATGTTATCGTCAATTCACCACAAGGAAAATGAAACTTATGTGTTTCAGGCTCCAACACTGATATCAGTACCGACATCACCTTAAATCCGCGAAGAAATGTCGTTCTATATAATCCAAATCGTGAAAGATATATCATCATCCGCTTATGTGGCTCTTCATTCGTCATTCCTCGATGATGAATGACTCGTTCTTCTCGCTACAACTTGAAAATAAATTATTTAGTACAATTACATAAATAATTATTATTAATACTATAATTTTGTCAAAACTAAAATGAAATAAAACAAATTAAATTTACCGTAGTCAACTCGATCGACGAAATATGAACATCATCAAGACGTAACATTTCTTCTCTTGAGGTTATTTCAAAACAAAATCTTGAACACAAGTTTTTTGCTCTCAATAGAATGTTTAATTCCAAGTGAAAAATCAATCCAACCCAAACATTTATTTATACTACTCTACCCAATGACATAAATGACTATTTTTTCAAATTGAAAATAATCGTTGGAACTCGTCACACTGATGTGACGAGTTTCATTGAATTTTTAAAAAAATTTATCTGTTTAACAACAATTAATCCAATAGTAAATAAATTGAAAATTATACCTGTTGGAACTTGTCACATCGGCATGACGAGTTCCATTAGGAATAAAATAATATTTTTTTAATATTTTAAAAAAATTCAAAAAAATATTTTTATTGGACTCATCATACCCGCGTGACGAGTCCCATAAGATATATTAAATTAATTCTGATTGTGGACTCATGTGACACGACCTATTAAAAAATATATATACCATAAAACTCGTTACGCCGACATTACGAATTTTATAATACTGTAGCATTCACAAAATATCTGAAAATAAATTTCCTTATCCTATTGGACCGAATAATCTACTCGCCTTTGTTATTTACCCAATTCAGTCGTCTCTAGTGCATCACTAAAAGTCTAAAACAACCTTTTTCTCTAAGAATATGCGATATGAATATTCTATTTATTTTCTAAGTACAGTCTTGAGTGAATCGCTAAAATAATAAACCCAAGTAACTCAAGTCTCAGACCACCACGGAACCGACAGAGGTATTGGTGGAACAAGAAACCCTGCCGTCACCGGCACAAACGCCGCCAACAACAATGTATGATGCTTAAGCTCCACCGTTCTACAACTGTTACTGTCGATCAGAGATGGATTGATGGGATGTAGATAGAGATTGTAGTCCTTGAAAACTTTAAAATCTCTTTTTATTTTATATTGGTGGACTGTATGTCCATCCATGTCAAGATCCAATAAGATTAGGGAGTGACTCCTTTTATTAATGAGAAAGCATAGTTTAGAATAGTGTTCCGGTGACTTTAATGATGGACGGATCGGTATTTTCTGAGTGAGATCAATTTCGATGGGTCTAATTAGTGTTTTAGAGTTTTTAAAGTGATTTCTGTTTGGTCGTGTTACTTGAATAGCTTTGGGTTTTTGTCGGTTTCGTATTGAATGGAGAAAGATCCAACTCTCAACAATGTAATGGGGCCTACTAATACACTGTAGATTTGACCTTATGAGTTCATATAGTTCCTTCCATTGCTAAACACCTTACTTGTAAGCTTTTCATCCATCGTTAATGGCCAACGCTCTCTCATTCTTCGTCTCCATATCCATCACTATCTTCGTACCCTTATGCATGGCTGCAACGAGCTTCAACGACGACCAATCCGTTCTTCTCGAGTTCAAAGCCCATATCACTTCCAAGGTTTTAAAAAATGATTCATGACGTTATTTCGGCCGTGATATAGTTTTGTCATTATCTAAGTTACCCGCGATGTCTGTAATAGTCCGCGACGGCCGCAATCACAGTAAATTCGAAATAACCAAAAATACGATCGCGATTTGAAACCCTGATCCTCATAATGTCTTGCCATATAATTGGTCCACGGCCACCGGAGTATGCAGCTGGACCGGCGTTTCGTGCGGCTTTAGTGGCCGAGTCACGGCCTTGAATCTTTCCAACATGAACCTGCACGGCGGTATCCCGCCACCCTTGGGAAACCTCTCGTTTTTGTTGTCTCTCGACATGAGTGGGAACTGTTTTAATGGCAATTTGCCATCCGAGTTGGCCAACTTGCATGGCTTGGAACTCATGGACTTGAGCCACAACGAGCTTACTGGTGAAATTCCTTCATGGTTGGCAACTATTCCGAGCTTCAACATCTAAGTCTCTTTGGTAACAACTTTATTGGAAGTATACCCCATGAGATTGGTAAGCTTCGAAAGCTGAAAAGTCTTCGTCTCAGATACAACCTGCTTTCGAATCCGATTCCCCCATCATTCTATAATATTTCTTCCTTAGAAGTTGCAGATTTCATGTTAATAATACCACAGGAAGTATATCAAGCAGTATGGGAACTTAACTAATCTCAGAGAACTATATCTTGCAGCAACAGATATTGCAGGTGAAATTCCTAGGGAAATCAGCAATCTTCGTGATTTGCGAGTATTTGACGCCGAAATACGAGCCTTACCGGTTCCATCCGGCAAACATCTTCAACATGTCGTCGCTAAAATGGATTTATCTAGGAAACAATAAGTTTTCCGTTACTCTCCCTATTGACATCCTTTCCAGTATCTAGGAAACTGAGTTATATCTAGGAAACAATAGTCTATTCGGTAGCCTCCCAAGGTATATGCCTTGGCCTTCCAGCACTTGAGTGGATTAATTTTCATAGAAATAAACTCACTGGAAGTGTTCCAAGGAATATTGGCAACTGCAGCTTTCTCCACACTGTAAGTTTCGGCACAAACGGTCTCACCCGTAATGATATCCTTTCCGTATATAACTCATTTTTCGGCATATTCGACTGCAAATTAAAGCATGCTGATTAAAACGATTGTATATATGTCTTCATGATGGTAACAGGACAAATACCAGAGGAGATTTCCAACTTAAGACATCTTAGACATTTGCATATTGGGGACAAAAACTTGACTGGTTCAATTCCATAAAAAATATTCAACATGTCAGCCATCGACTTCATTGCATTGCATTTAAATAGCCTTTCGGGACATCTTCCGTCGAGCACCGCGTATCGGCTTCCGAGACTTACACTCCTAGTCCTAGCTCAGAACAAACTCACTGGCAAGCTCCCCAGCTGCATCACCAATGCTTCGACACTCAAGGACATAGAACTCGGCCACAAGTCGTTTTCCAGCTCTCTTCCGAGTTCCTTTGGAAGCAATCTAAGACTCCTCGAGTGGCTCAGCCTCCAATATAACATTTACATTCGAATATTCGAGTCCAGAACATAGTTTTCTCTCTTCTTTGACGAACTGCAGATCTTTGTGGCATATAAGCATTGAATCTACTGCGTACCGTGGTGTCTTTCCAGCTTCGATAGGGAATCTCTCGAACTTGCTTTTATACTTTTACGCAGGCGGTTCCGGACTAAAGGGTAACACTCTGATGGAAATTGGAAACTTGAGCCGTGTGATAGAGTTCTCGGTTTGGGACAATGGTTTGGTTGGACCTATTCCAGCAGTTGGAAGATTACAGAGGCTTGAAGGTTTGTTTCTGAATGGAAGTAAACTGCAGGGATCGATCCCAAACGACACTTGTGAGTTAAAGATGATATATAAAATATCACTACAAAGTAATTTACTTGATGGGTCAGTGCCAGCATGCTTTGATAATTTGACTGCTTTAAGATCTCTGAACTTGGATTCCAACAAACTAATTTCCAACATTCCATCGACCTTGTGGAGACTTTCGAATCTGTTGGAACTCAATTTGTCATCGAATTTTCTCAGAGGCTCTGTCCCGTTAGATGTTGGGAACTTAAAGGTTCTGATCAGAATGGATTTATTCAATAATCAGCTGTCGGGTAATCTGCCAAGCACCATAATGACGACCTCAATTGTTTGATTTATCTTTCATTTGTAGAGAATTCATTGCAGGATCAAATTCCTGATTCTTTTGGCCATTTAATGAGCTTGGAGTTCTTGGATCTCTTGAGAAACCGCCTTTCTGGAGTGATTCGTAAGTCCATGGAGGCACTCTCCCATCTCAAATACTTAAACGTCTCTTTCAATACGCTCGAAGGCGAAATCCCGGCAGGAGGACTGTTCCTAAACTTGTCGGCCTAGTCATTCGGATCAAACGAAGCTCTTTGCGGTTCGCCTCGACTTCACGTGCTACCATGCAAAGCTGGCTCCGATCACCGATCAGAGAAGGTTTCGGTTCTTGTGCTGAAGTGCATCTTACCAGCTATAGTATCTGCAATGTTGCTGGTGACCCTTATAATCATCCTTTTGAGAAGCCGTAAATCGAAACCAAAGGTCCCGATTCGAAAAACTCCGTTGCCACCGGCAACATGGAGAAGGATTTCTTACTACGAGCTTCGAGTTGCAACAGATGGATTCAATGAAAGCTGCTTGATTGGTACCGGAACTTTTGGCTCGGTTTATAAAGCCGTAAAAGTTTTCGACCTACGTATCGATCGAGCATTCCTGAGTTTTGAGTCTGAGTGTGAAGTAATGCGGTCCATTCGGCATTGAAATCTGGTTAAAGTCATTAGCAGTTGTTCCAACGAGTATTTCAAAGATTTAGTACTCGAGTTCATGCCGAATGGGAGCCTTGAAAAGTGGTACTCTCACACTTCCGCTCTAAATATTGTACAGAGACTCAACATAATGATCGATGTCGCATTGGCTCTTGAACATCTTCTTCATCATGGTCATCAAACACCGGAGATCCACTGCGATCTGAAACCCGAAAATGTCTTACTTGACGAAGATATGGTAGCTCATGTGGGTGACTTCGGGATCGCCAAGCTCTTAGGAGAAGAAGAATCCATGAAACAGACCATCACAATGGCCACAATTGGTTACATGGCACCAGGTGATCATTCTCTTTTGAAAATTAAAATCTGCAATCGATTTTTCGCCAATGAGTTTCTGTGCAATTTATCGCAGAATATGGAACATCAAGGATCGTTTCTACCGAAGGCGACGTCTATAGTTTCGGCATATTACTTATGGAGACGTTGACACGAAAGAAGCAGACCGATGAAACGTTTACCGACGAATTGAGCTTGACGGATTTGGTGAAGGAGTTGTTTGATTCACTAACTAACGTTATCGATGCAGCTATACTCCAGGAAGGGGAGGTACATCTCAGTGCAAAAACAAGTTGCATATCGTCAGTGCTAGAATTGGCCTTGGATTGTTCAGCAGAGTCGCCTAAGAGGAGGAGAAAGATGGTAGATGTTGTGGCCAACTCAAAAAGATCAAAACCAGGTATCTAAAAGATGTACGAATACCGTCTAGAAATATTTTATAGGGTGAGGACGTATATATTAATTATTGAAAATAAATTTTTAAGGTTGATATCCATAATAAAATTGACAGTTAATATTAAAAAATTCGAATTTCAAGGATAGCACGCTTTGCATCCGCCGGTGTCTGTGGTTATCTAAAAGCTGCTAAAACAAAGATCATTGTATCATGTTATGTTTCCCGAAGTTTCCATACAATACATTGGAATATCATCTTCCAAACATACTCCTATAGAACATATTCATCGTCCAAAACACGCAAGTGAATTACGTTTAAATGATATTTTCCTGTCAACGAATTTTTTAAATATTTTAATAATGAAATTTGTCAAAAATTATAATAAAATAGATCATACGACGATAACAAAAATGAGATATGAATTTAATTTATTTTTAAAACAATTTAGATTATTAAGACGAAATGAAGAAGAAAAACACTCGATTAACATCTAAACTCACAATAAAAAGCCACTAAATAATGATAATATTGGTGATTTGATCGACGATCATCATAATTCCAATTTCCTAAACCTTAAATCGAACCTGACCTAAATATCACATTTTAAAAAAAATCGATCTGATCCGACCGAATATATGAATTAGAAATCGACTCGACCTGATCCGAAATAATAAAAAAAATATTTTTATTCAATAAAAACAGTGACTTAATTGAAAAAAAATATATATATATAGGGGTATTATTGTAATTATTCCTAAATATATAAGGTAAAATTATATATATTTTCGGGTCGAGTATTTTTCACCCTAACCCGAACTCGACCCGACCCGACCCGAATATCACACTTAAAAAACCCGACCCAACCCGACCAAAATAAAGTTTCACTGACCCGACCTGACCTGAAATAATAAAAAAATAGTTTTATTCAATATATAAATAAATTACCAAAAGATTGATGAGGGTAGTATAGTCAAATTTTAATTCCCTCCAACAATGGAATTGAATTCCATCATAGAATGATGAAATTCACTTTCCCTCATTTGTTGGAAAGTTGAAGCCACGAGGGATTTCAATTCCCTTGAAAAATTGAACCAAACATGTGAAAGTGGTGGAATTGAATTCCAATTCCCCCTAATTCAAGGGATTCATACGAACCAAACGCCACCTAAGAGTTTTGAAGTCCAACTTTTCTAGGAGAAAATGATTTTTTTAAAAGAGAAAAGGAATAAGATTTATATATCAACATTGATTGTTGCAAAGAAACAACGACAATATATTTTAATGTGAAGGTTGAGAAATACGTAAACTCAGGGATGGAGAGGGAAGGAGAATCGTTATTCTGAAAATTTTAAATTATCATATATTTTAATTTTTTAATATATTTTTTATTAAAAATATATTTATATACCTAAAATTTTATAAATTTAAATTCGTCTCTATGAAATTTTAAAAATTCAAGTTCACTCTTATCATAAATATTTTTGTGAGTCCTTATGTAAACTAGTGAGAGAGAAGAAATAAAAAATGGATTAAATTTATAAAATATTTAAATGTTGATGATTAACTTTTTAATGTTAAAATTAAATTATAATAAAATATAAAATTTTAGAATTAAATTTATTATTATTTTAATTTTTTAAAATATAACGTCATTTATTGTTAAAATAGGTTCCTAATATTTTCAACGTTATATTTTTAGGTGTCTGGACATTTATTTAAAAAAAAATAAAAATATTTTTAGGTTCCTAATGTGTTCCCTCCCTTCTCCTCCTTCTCCCTTCCCCCTTCCATAGCTATCGATAAGCTAGTTGTGACAATCACCGTTACCATCATTAGCATCGACATCAATTCTCGTCAAACCCACTTTGACCTTTCATCGTAATCTACCACCGTTTGTCGTGGAGAAGCGTTCAAAGGTTCGTCGGATTTTAAATCACTGTCTCTATTCTTTGTCGATTTTGACCGATTCAACATCGTCAGTCATACCGTTACCACCATTCAAACCACCGTGCAATTTAGATCAAAATCCAACCGTTCAACGGTGACGATGATGGTCAGTGATGGATGAGACGGTTAGTAATTGGGTCGAAATGAGAAATTTTAGTTTTTTAGGTTTTTTTATAATTTCAGAAAAAATGGGTTTAAAAAATAAATTAAGCTTTTTATTTTTTAAAAATAATATTTTTATTATTAAAAAATTAAAAATATAATGATAAACACTTAAAAATATAATAAAAAAATAAACACATATTTTTAGGAAAAAGTTCTTTATGTACTAAAACATTTTCGAGACATAGTTTGAGAACATATTTTTGTATTGAGTCTATTTTAATTAATGATCAATTTATAACCTTTTATGGTAGAAGGATTAAAAAATGCTTAATACAAAAATAAGTGCTTAAATTTTATCTCAAAAAACGTTTTAGTACCTAAAGAATTTTTTGTTAAAAATAGGTGTCTAGCATTTTCTCCGTTACCATTTTAGGTGTCCGAACGTTAATCGCCGTTAAAAATCCTCTTTAAGTGACACATGTTATATTCTGGTTTTAATTTTAAAAAAAGATTTTATATTAAAAAAAATTAAAAAATACAACAATGCATCGTCTTCTCCCCTCCCCTCCCCCTCCCCTGCCACAACCGACTATCATGTTCGACCAAAATGGTAAATGACTGACCACCACATCCTATCAAACGACCAATTACCACGATCGATCTAAGTGATTCTTATAGATTCAAAACCCTAAAATAAAAATTTTAATTCGCACCATTTTTGGGTGTTCGAATGGTTGCGAATGTATGAGCTTTTGGTCATGGTTTGTTGGTCGATCACATGTCGTTGGGTGTCTAGCCAATTGACGGTGTTGGTGACGACTAGCGATAGCAAAGGAATTAAAATTAAATTTTAAAAGTTTGGATTTTTTTAAGATTTAAAAAAATTTAGGTTTTTTTAAAATAAAAATTATATATTTTTTATTTATATAAAATTTCTAAAATTACTAGAACGTGAATCATATCATTTAATGTTGGTTGGTGTCTATAAATCTAAAGTGTAACAGAAAAAAATATTGAATACTTACTTTTAACAAATTTTTTTATACTAAAACGTTTTTCAAGGTAAAATTTAGTAACTTGATTTTATATTAAACATTAGAAAGAAATATTATCTCAGTCAAATATTATCTCAGAGTAGTATCATTTTGTGAATGGTAAAGGAGGTAAGAAAAAAGAAATGGCGGTTCCACTTTTAAGTAAGAAGATCGTGAAGAAGAGGGTCAAGAAGTTCAAGAGACCCCAAAGTGATAGCAAAATCTCCGTCAAGGTATATTAAAAAAATTTATCGTCATTCAAGTTTTGATTTTTATTTTCTTTTTGGTTTAATTAAATTCGATTTAATGTGGATAAGAAGATAGATCTCGACACCTAGTCTGAGTTTCTGTATACTGAGTCAGTGTTGATTGACTATCTGATCATTTACAATTGCTCCAACCGGGATGCTCAGTCTTTTGAAGTATTAATTTTTTTATTAATTCTTAAATTCTTTAACTTGCTGTAAAAAAGTAATGAAGTTATTCAGACTTTTTTTTTTCTGCATTATAAGATTTTTTGGGTGTTTTTTTTTAGATATGCTGGGAGACATGATGATACTTATCCATCATTTCTGCATTTGAATGATGAATACTAACATGCAGTACCATCTTATCTCTTTTTGCGAAGAATTTTTCAAAAAATCACTGTATAATCATTATTTTCTTGTCATACATCGTTTAATTTTATTTCTCAATCTAACACCTTTACAGGTAAACACGGTCTTTGCATCGCGCCTTACGCTGATGTGACGTCACGTGGGTAAGACACGTCCCTGAAGCGCGTCTTGTAAAAAGTGTAAAAAATTCGGGTGTTAATTTTGTAAATAATTTTAAAATCGTCTCATATGTAATTAATTTATATTACAGTGATATTTGTGTAAAACCGTCAACTTTATTTATTTATTTTTGCGTGTGAAAAAAACTTTCTACATTAAAATCTTTAAATATTCTTTTCAAATTATTTTATAACTCCAAATTTTAATTTTGCATGAAATTACACAATACGTATAATCTAGTATAAAAAATTTTAAAGGTAAGTATTTTAAAATATTAATAATTTTATAAAAGTTTTATAACTAATATTTCTTTTACAAAATGATGATGATGATGATAAACATTTTATAATTTAAAAAAGTATAAATTTTATATATTTTTAAAAAATTTATTGACTTTTAAAATTAATTGTTTAAAAATATCAAAATAAACTTTTAATTATAATTGAGGGATCAAATGAATTATTATTCATTAATTATTATTTTTTAACAACAGTTGATAATGTTTATTCATTTTTAATAAAATTATTTTGATTTTTGCATGAAATTACACAATACGTTTAATTAGTATATGAAAACTTTGAGGGTAAATATTTTAAAATATGAATAATTTATAAAAGTTTTATAAGTAGTATATTATTACAAAATGATACTGATAAAGATGATGATAAATATTTTATAATTTAAAAAATTATAAATTTAATATATTTTGAAAAATTTATTAACTTTTAAAATTAATTGTTTAAAAATATAAAAAATATTAAAATAAACTTTTAACTACAATTAAGGGATTAAATGAATTATTATTCATTAATTATTATTTTAACAACAGTCGATAATGTTTATTCATTTTTAATAAAATTATTTTGATTTTGATTTTATATTTTTTAAAATTAATATTAGAAAAATATTTTAAATAAAGAGGTGATATTTTTTAGTTTACATTCTTTTTATTGAATTTTATTCACTTTTAATTATTTTTATTGTATTTTTATTGATTTTTTAAAAAATTGAATAATAATTCATTTGATCTCTCAATTGTAATTAAAAGTTTATTTTAATAATTTTAAACAATTAATTTTAAAAGTCAATAAATAATATTAACTGTTATTAAAAAATAATGTTACACAAAAAAAAGTTGACGTTTTTACACAAATATCCCCATAATAGAAATTAATTACATATTAGGCATCATTTGAAATTATTTATAAATCTAGCACTCGATTTTTTACACGTTTATAAAAGGCGCGGTGCATGAGCCGTGCCTTCTGTCAAGTGGCGTAAAGCGCGGTGCATGGGGCGCGCCTTCCTGCAAAGGGTGTTAGATCGAAAAATAAAGTCGAAACGATGTCTGACAGGGAAATAATGATTATAAGGGTGCTTTTCGGGAAATTCGCCCTCTTTTGCATATTTTATTGACTTTTTCAGAATTGAGGTAAATTTTTAATTGATTTTTTATGATTTTCTACCACTTGCTACTATCAGGGTATCAAATAGCGTTTCGAAACCGTGATAGCGGCCGTAATATTGCGGTTGTGCTACCGTCTAAAACCGGTTTTGATGATTTTTGCGATGGGTCACAGATTCACACCAATATCGGTTGATTGCGCCCGCAATTTAACGGAAAACGACGATTACGCCAATAACGAGACGCAACCACCGTTATTCAACCGTGATTCCAAGACAAAATCAAAAACCAACTTCTGTTGCAATCAACTGTAAACGAAAATGAAAATGAAAATGAAGGGACTTTGGATTCCCGAGTTAGCTCTGACCAGTTTTGGATAGAAGATGCGCCGGAGAAAGTCCTTTGAGTATCAGACGACGATTGTCGATTCCTTGACCAACCATGAGCAATTTGTGGGTTTATAGATATTTTGACAGAGGATTTTGTTTTTGAATAGTTTTGAAGTCCACCCTCTGCTCCCCTCTTTGGCCTCCATTCTCTCATATTTGGAAATGAAATGAGTGAAAATTGAAGAATAGTGAAATGGGTGGGGCTGTGGGGTGAAGAAGAGTGAACTGGGGAGTGAAGAAGAGTGAAATGAAAAGTCTTCCCTGATTGACGTTCGCTTCAAATTAAGAAATTTAATCCCTCGTTTTCACAACACTTCACCAATGTTTTCTTCTTATTCTTTTAAAGGCATAATATACCATTTGATTTATGAGTTATATATACATTATTTTAATATTTAAATCATTATTTTATTATAATTACCAAAAAATACTGATATAATATAATATCTGATATTTTTTAACGTCCATAATTTGAATAAAATAAGATATATAAGAAAATTAAATAAAAATGAGAAAATATATATAATTAAGAAGTCAAACCATGCATTAATTATTTAAGTTTTTTAAATGGATTCATTATTTAAGTTATGTACTCCTTTTAAATATTTAGATGTTAGGGTGATTAAATCTTTGGTAAAAATATGAATTTTTTAAAAAGAGAAAAATATTATTTTTCCCTTTTTTTATATTTTCAGTTGTAACCTTTGTATTTATATTTTAATCTAAATAATATCTAGTAACAATTAGGGAAAAATGAATAATCACTTTATAAATATTTCACTAATATCATTTTAAGACTGATTTCACGATTTAATTTGTTAACTTTAATACCTAAATTATGAAAATTCCATTTTATAAAAAAATATAAAATAATAAGAAAAGTCTTTTAAATAAATAAATAAATGTCTAAAAAACTATTCAGGGTTTGAGTTTAAGCATACTTGTGTTCCTCAACCCGTGATGGGTTTGATTGTTGCCTTATGGCCTAAGGGTGTGTATCTTAAGGCTGAGGATGTAGCAAATGCAACACTCTACCTAGCAAGTGAAGACCAAAGATATGTTAGATTGCATCATTTGTTCATAGACGTGGGATTTACTGTGCCAACCCGTCGTTCTATGTTCCAATGCCCCGAAACAACCATTCATACAATATTCTAATGAATTTTAATATTTTTTTATAAATTTTAAGTTTCTTAATTTTTAAATTTTTTAATTTCTTAGATTTTTATTTTTATCCATTTTAATTTCTTAGATTTTTTTTAATCTCATAGTTATAGCAAAATTTATTTTTATCCATTTTAATTTCTTAATTTTTTCATATGTTGATTGTTGATAGTCTTATTTCTTTTAAATAATAATGTATTCACAATGTCATCGTTAATTAATTATCTTATCCTATCATCGGATTTTTAAAGTTTCTATTTGATTAAACTATATTATATATATGTCAATTTCGCTTATAAAACATTTTAAAAATCATTAAAAATGATTTCTAATAATTATAATTATTTTTATTATGTTTTAAGATAAATTGTGCAAAATTTAAAAAATTTACGACCGCGACACCGCAGTGAACGCGATAACATCCGTTGTGTCCGCAACCGCGATAAACGCGACGTGACGAAAACGTGACCGCGAACGCTATTTGATACCCTGGCTACTATTGGACTACTATTAGTTTCAATTTTGGTTTCGCCTCTCGGAAAGATTAATGAGAAGCTTCTCGCATTCTCGGCCATGGTATCTAATGTCTGGTTTTCTTTATGTATTTGTGTAACTTGGCATTTCGTTTTAAGGGCGAATAAAACCCGTTTACCAGGTCTTGTGACACGGGTTAGCTTTTTTCTATAACAAGCTTTCTGTTACTAAATCTCTGGTCATATTGGCTTGCCTCATATCCATGCACATTTTACTTCGTTTGTGTTAATATTGAATATATGAAACTTCTCTTACATATCATGTTTACCCTGACGGTTGATGACAGACAAACTGGCGTAGCCCCAAGGGAATCGATTCTCGTGTTAGAAGGAAGTTCAAGGGATGCACTTTGATGCCAAACATTGGTTACGGTTCAGACAAGAAGACACGTCACTATCTTCCGAATGGCTTTAAGAAATTTGTTGTGCACAATGTCGGAGAGCTTGAACTGTTGATGATGCACAACAGGTGCTGTTAATTAACATACCGAGAATGATTGATTAATCACTGTTGATCTATATTGTTTATTTTTGTGTTCTCGATTTGTATTTGTTTCTTATCGGGACATACTGTGCCGAGATCGCTCATGATTTTCCACAAAGAAGAGAAAAGAGATTGTGGAACGAGCGGCGTAGCTTGATGTTGTTGTTACTAACAAGCTTGCCAGGTTGCACAGCCAGGAGGATGAATGAAGGCATAAGCTTGTATTGGTTATATTTATCAGTGAGCTTTGTTTGATCAGCTTGCTTATAAATTTTGGGTAGTTTTGTTTTGTCGTATCACATTCTTAACCGTGATATTTCTTCGACATTGGTGATCTAAGCATTGTAAGTACATTTCTTAAATGTTATCGTGTTATTCGATTTTCATCGACTTTCGAATATGAGAATACCTTCAATAGGAACATATTTGAAGGATCATATTTGAATGTATTACGTATGGAAACTTAGGGCAACATAACTTGATAACGATGGTTGATGAACTTTGTTTTAGCAGCTTTTAGAAACCTTATCCGAGCAGGGGCTAAGTGAATGTGAAAATGGAATGCTTAATTTAGTTAATTGCGATTCAAAAAAATGGAAGGGAATATAAAGCTTGTAAGGTCAAGTGTTTGTAGGCTCCATTAGCATGAAAAATTCATGAAACTAAAAACACAATACACCAGCAAAATGGATAGGACAATTTAACAGTAACATCCGGTCAAGATCCGAAGTACAACAGAATTTAACGCTAATTACCCCAAAATCCACGAGATCCGAATCAAACAAAAATCTGAATGAATGAAACGCTAATACCTCAAAATAACGTCTAAAGGACCGGATTTCAACCACCACAAAAATGAGATCGAGCATCAAACTCTTCATCGGAACATTGAGATAACGCACGAGTGGAATGCTCAACGCATACTCCATCGGTGCATTGGATTACGATGTGAAGCCGAAGGAGTTTCCGAAACGATGAAAACAGAGGAGGCGACGAGGAAGTACCTGAAAAAGAAGAGCATAAACAACACAGCGTTAAAAAACGGAAAAAAAATCGGGGAGACAAGATTGATGAGAAAAGAATGAGAGGTGACACAGTCGGAGAAAAGGAGAGAAAAAGGAAGTGAAAAACAAAGGAATAATGAAAGAATTAAAGAAGAGAGAAAACTGGTGGTGGGGGACGGTCGAAAATAAATCCACAACCGAGGGAAAAAAGAGAGCAAAACTCAATACATAAAAGAAAATAATTAGAATTATAAGATTTGTTTTTTAAATAAAAAGAGAGAAGTCAAGAGAATTTTCTAGTTAAAGTTAGTTTGAAAGTTGGTTAATCTCATCTTTCAATAATTGATTTAATCTAAATGTATAAGATTTGATTTAAATTTAAATTTAAATTTAAAATTTAATTTATTGTATGTTGAATACTAATATAAATATAATTATATTTGAAGTTGAATTGAGTTAAATATTTAAATAAAAAAATATTGGAACCTTATTAATTTGTAGAAGTTAATTGCAAATAATTGAGATGAAAAAGAAATTAAAATTCCGGCTATCTACAAACGAACGTTTGATATATTTAGAACCCTACTTCACTCCTACATGTTAGAAGGGAGAGCTTAACATGATTCGTTTTGGCGCCTGTTCTTCTCTGATTTAATCTCCACCTTTGCGCTTGATCGACCCATAAAAAACACGGTAGCGGCGGCGATGGCTACAGCTCCGACCGATGCAATTATCGAACCCCATTTGATCTTACTCCCATTATCCTCCTCTTCTTCATGTCGTTGTTCCTCATATTTCAGTTCATCTACTTCCTCTTTTTGAGTCCGACCAATCAATTCCTTGGTTTTCTTGCTTTTCAACACAACGATGGCGTTCCTCAGCTCGCATAACTCGGACTCCAACTCAGTCATCTTCTCCTTGATCTCATTCGCCATCTTCTCCGACCCTTTTATGGCCTTAACTTCATCCATCATCATCTGTAAATCGAGCATCCCGTAACTTCCCCTCTCTAACATCGCTTCCAGTATCTCGATTTCTTTACTCAATTTCTTCTCATCTTTAACACCATTACCATCGCTCGCGTTCATAGCTTCGTCGATCGCTTTCCTGGTTTTCTCAATTTTCTGGGAAACTTTTTTCTTATTCAGATTCGCTTTGCGCCTAGGAATATCGGCTTTTGAAATCTTACCCTTTCCAGATTTTCTTCTTCGTTCATCAGCTCCGGTCCCTAGATCTTTCAATTTCTCATTCAATTTCATCGCTTTCAAAATCTCTTCATCTTCCACCAATTTCTCCAATTCATCACCTTTCAACCCTTTCGCGAGCATCCTCATCAGAACTTTCCGCTCCAATTGTTCGATTCCGAGATCCATTTGATTCTCACCGTTATCCAATTCTTCAACCCCACGGTTTAACGAATTCAACTTCTTATCATCATCTACATCATCGAGGTTCAATCGAGGCGCCCCGTGCCCTAATCTCTTACGAAACGGTTCCGATCCGAAAGCTTACCTTCCATCCCAATTCCTACGCGGTCGTCGCCTTCGTTCTCCGCCACCTGATGGACCCGCGACGATGACGAAGAAGAAGACGATGAAGACGGCGGCGATGGGAAGTTGTAGAGCACGGAACTTCCCATTAGATTAACAGAAGAGATCCCCATTAAAGATGGAGCGTGGATCGAAAAAACAGATTCTTATACTAAAATTTGAAAAATTCAAAGAAATTTGCTTTAATTTAACCAAGCTAATGGAAGATTGATTTAAATTGAACGGTTGCGAGAAACGGAGAGATTTGGATTTTCCATTTCTGGTAAATATTTTCCCGCCCTATTTACGGGGTCAACTATCATACGTGTGCATAACTGATTGGCTTAAAACTGTTCATCTTCATTTAATCAGATAAGATAGTAAACTTGAGTTCGTTGACAATCAATGAAAAAAATTGGCTAAACAGGTAGTTTTAGATAAAAATATGATTATATCATTAAGGTGATGACGTGGACATAATATAAGTATGACGTAAATATACATATAATTCATTAAAATCATTAATAATAAATGATAGATGATTACGTAATATCGATTTGATTAGAAAATTAAATAATTAATTTGAATATAATAACCGATTTAACCGAAACAAAGTGTTGCAGTCGTTGAAGTCTGGTTTTACATCACCAACATAGCAACCATGTGGAGATTACTCTGATAAAACTTGGATACTATACAGAATCCACTCGATCGACCCGACTAGATACAACATAAACCGATTGACCCAAAACAAGGACTAGACACAACATAAACCGATCTATGAAACCGGTGAAAGTGCAAATCAAAGAATGTACGGAACGACTAGCTACGAAGGCGTCGGCAGTGCCGCTACCACTACCCATTGTCCTTTAGTGGGGGGAAAACATTGAGGCTTTAAAAAAATAGACATGAGCTGCCTTGTCTAGCGGATCCCCATGAACAGATGGTTCTGCACTAAAAGAAGAAACCACATAACATGTGAGACGTGTGTATGCACATAAAGAACAGATATTGATGTTAGTATAAAATGGCACACAACAACAGTATTGTGAACCGTGACATAAGACTATTCCGGACATTTTTTCAAATGGGACTGCTTGTTCTACGATTGCTTACGACCGCAAAGAAAGTGTATTCGGTATGAGTTGCCGAGTATATAGGTATGCGGTACTACAAAAAATAAAGGAAGCATAATCTAGCCTTTTCTTTTCAATTCAAAGGATAACATGAACCTGTGATTATCTGTTTGAACTAGTAAGGACATCAAACAATCCACAGCAACTAAACAACAACGTTCTTTGCACCGTCGGCGGAGTCGAGGCAACAAGGGGCTGTGAACCAATTCAGCAAATAAGCAAGAAATCACTTCGCAGTAAAATAAGGGAGTATTCTAATCCACAATTCTCAAAAGAAAAAGGGCATTATCTACTGATATACATGCATTTTAGAATCATCATGTGGCTCAGCATCCCGGGTTTTTTCGGCGACATTGCTAGTTTCAGCAGGTGACGTGCTCGAGTATGGGGAAACCTCTACTTCATTTCCTTCCAATTCAACCCTGGATATGCCATTTGATGGGGGCAGTAACTCTACTTCACTTTCCTGGGACCTTGATTCAACTACATTGTATACTGATTTGTTTGCTGAATTTCAGTACTTCCCAACTTCGTCCTTCGCAGTTTTCACCGAATTCTCAACAGCGGCGGCTTCGACTGATTTGTATACTGAAATTTGCAGAATTAGCATTAACATTCCTATGAGTTCCATTTTCAGCAACTTTCATAGACGTGATGGTAGCCGAATCATCTTTGTTAGCACATGAGGTATCTTCAGAACCAAGATTATAGGCTTCTTCCTTCGACTTCTTCTCAGAGACTCGAGATTCGTCATCCGAACTACCACTGCAGCTAGAACTCTTATTGTGCTCAGCATGCTAAATTCGAACATGTGTGGTGCCCCCAACATCATCCAATCCAGATTTTTTGTGACTTTTGAATCTCTAAGGGTTTCTTCCATGGACTTTTCCTCATGTGATTCAACAGGTGACGGTGCTCTTTTCCTTTCTTCTTGCCTGTGATTGAATGGATGCTGGTGATTGTGGTCACCCTGAGATGCAGGGGAACCGTTACTGTCCCTTTCATCATTTTCTGGAACAATTTCACAAAATCACTATAATTTCGATTACCATGCAAACGAGAAATTTATCAATCACCCATCTTGAAACAACAAAAATAAACACTAGAAAAAAGACTGTCTTCAATTAGAAACTTCATTTAACAGGAAGAACAAAAATCTCCAACACAGTAACCCAAGAACAAATGGCACTTACAAATCAAAAAGAAAATTACCCATCATCACAATTCAAGGAGAAAAACAAAACCCGAAACGAAATTCTCATAAAACAGCGCAAAATACCCTGTGGGTTGACTACTAGTTGTTCCTTCTTTTTCTTGGCGGCTTTTCTCTTCTTTGAACCAGATGGCATGATTGCTTCCCTTCCCCCTCACTGTGTGCAGGATGAAGTGATGTTTAGAAGGTGCGAGTTCACAAATTATGCAAGCCAAAAAGAAAACCGCTGTTACTTGCTAGAAACTACTTAAGAAAGCGCTGGTTGGCACCATCCGATTGCTTGAACTGGATGCTCACTTGGAGAGAGATTTGGAATATTTAAGAAAAATTAAGAGATTTTGAAACTGATGGGGCCATTTGGAGGTGTGGGGTATGTTTGAAAATGGATTGAAATGATGAAATTTGCAATAAGTGGAGTTGGTTTTTGTAAAAGCTAAAAGGTAGTTTAGGTTTTTTTTAAGCATCAATATTGAAAAGACAGAGTATTTATGTTTAAATATCAATAGGGATCAAAACGATGAAGATGTAGAAGTATGCATAGAAGGATACGTTCTCCCCTCAAAAGATTGTTTCAAGTACCTAGAGTCTATGATACATAAAAATGAGATGTTGATGATGACGTTATACACCGTATAAAGACGGGATGACTAAAGTGAAGGGCCTCTACTGGAGTTTTGTGTGACAAGAAGGTGACTCTAAAACTTAAGGGAAAATTTTATAGAATGACAATAAGATCAGCGCTGTTGTATGGATCAGAATGTTAGGTAACCAAGAAGGATCATGTAAGGAGGATAGATGCCGTAGAAATGAGAATGCTTCGATGGACATGCGGTAGGACTCTGTGGGATATGACAACAAACTCTGCTATTAGGATGTTCTTGGGGGTGGTGACTGTTTCCGAAAAATTGAGGGAGGGAAGACTACGGTGATTTGGGCATGTTCTTAGGCGACTACCGTCGGATGCGGTCAGGAGGGTAGAGTCGATTACAGTCGACGGTTTCAGAAGGAGAGGACGACCAAGGCGGAAGTGGGGAAGACTGCTTGAGATCTGATTTGATGGATTTAGCCCTTACAGAGGACATGACCTCTGATAGGAAATTATGGAGACTTAAGACTAGGGTAGTCGAGTAGTGTATGTCACATCTCTAGGGTGTATCATCTCTGTCTTCTTTTAATGTCTTTGTAGTAGTTTCCATGACTTCTACTTTTTATACGTTTCTGTTATTGATATTTATGAAAGCTTAGAACTGGACTTGCTATCATAGACTTCTGTGTATCATTCTCTTTACTTTTAAATTTAGTCGGATCTTACGTTTCTGTCTATATGCAGAGATTTTTTCGCAAGATTTATTTGCAGGGATTATTACCTATTACAGACGCGCATATGATATTAATGACTGCATATGAATATTGTTCAACTATATATTTATGTATTTATTTATATATGCATTGTATTTTATTTATATTTTTAATGTTTTGACTGCCGGAAGTCTTCTGAGGAAACTACTCTCAACCTGATGTTGGGGGCAGCCTACTATCCTACTCTCCTTACCCCATTACATACCGAATTTAATTTTGTTGTTGTGAGTTTGCTTACGTGCGGTTGATTTATTTAACCATATCATTTTTTATACTATTTATAAAAATAACAAATATTTAATATGGAAGAAAAAAGTGTAAACTGAGGAAGAACAAAAGTTTATCTTTGGAGCACTCAAGTGTACCCAACACTCAGATCTGGTCAGACAATCCAATCAACAAAACATGAAGTAAAGCCCAGATCTTTAAGAAATCCCAATTCGGAAGTAGAAGAAGCTGCAATGGAGGCTTTGAGAAGGCAAGCCAGTAAGCTCAGAGAACAAGTTGCCAAGCAACAGCAGGCAATTTCCTCACTACCCTTTCGTTTTTCTTCTTTCATTCTTTTTTTGGCTTTAACGAGAATCGAATTCTATTCATCTGGTTGCTAGGAAAATGGTGGAAAACTAGAAAAAGACTTCTCCTTTTCTCTCGGTTTGCTTTTAAATTTTAAGAAATGAATAATTTACTATCTGTTGCTGTGTTAGACAACATACTTGGTTACTTGAAAATTTTGGAATTTTAGGACCTAATTCATATGTTTCGAGAATTAAAGATTGGATTATGGAGGTAATTCTAAACATTCATTGTATTTTTAGTCATCAATGTGGGATGATTTCGTGAGTGTGTGAAAGATTGAATTGAGTTTATTTTCTCTTATTTATATGTACTTCATGCTGCAATTTTCATTCTTTTCTAACACATTGAAAAGATTAGATATGGAGCTCCAAATGTTTTATTACTGCAAAGCTTCATCCTTTACTTGAAAGTTACCGAGGAAGAGTGTGTTTTTCGAGGAAATGAAAGATTAAGTGAAAGTTGAGTGATCAGTGAGATCTTAATGCTTTGAAACATCTACCGAGTATTGATTGATGTTTGAATGCTTTATTGAATTTGGTCTACACATAAGCATGAATGTAATTCATTTTGTTAATTGTTAGGACCGTTCATGTTCGATTCTTGCATGTTTTTCTGTTACTTTACCACTTCTGTTTTGCTTCAACTATTAGTTTCTTCTCTAGTCGAGTTACGGAACTTGTTTTGCAGGCTGTAATAAAGCGATTTGGTGGAACTGGTTACGAAGGCTAAGATGTTGTAGTTATTGATGAGGTTGAAATGCAAAGACATCAACAGCTAGACAAACTGTACAGGACTGCTCGATCGGGAAGGGTAATGATCGTTCTCCTCATCATATTTCTGAAATTTGAAAAATCACTTGGCATTCCTGTAAATTTCATGGACTAATGGATTCTTTTCTTGATTGATATACTTTCTTCCTTTCAGGACTTCCAGAAAGATGTTATTAAAGCTTCAGAAGCGTTTACAGCCATTGGAAATTTATGGAATGCGAATGAAGTAGTTGTTTCGATTTGAGAGCACTGATACTTCTGAGTTTCTTGTCACAGGCAACGCATCGAGGTACTGAGCCTGGCTGTAGGTTACTGTTATTGTGCGAAAGGTATTCTAGTTCCATGTTTAGACTTCACCTAAGTTGCATATAGCTTACATTTAGCTCGATAGACTCGTATGATCTGGATTATAATCGTCTAAATCGCTCTAAGCTAATGTGAAGGACAGAAAAACCGAAGAATAATGCTGGTTACGTACTCTATAGCTTAATACCTACACAAAATAATACTACTTGTAATAAAACTATGCAGGTAAGCTCATCTGGATGGTCAGAAGGAGAATGCAAAGGTAAAGCAGGGTGGTTTCCATCAGCTTATGTTGAGAAACGCCAGAGACTTCAGTCCAATAATCTGGCCAGAGAAGCATACCAAGTTAGTCGAAGGTTAAGCCTTTATCCGTCTTCTTTTTTCCTTTTCCCCTTTTCTTTATCCTGTAGGCGTATTATGCTTCTAGTAATCGTATGGGTTCTTTTAAGATGTTCATGTATCTACAAGAGATGTGAAAAGTATCTTACGAAACATGCAACGCTATGAAACTTTTAACCCTAACATGTTTTTTCATGATGTCTAAAGAAAGGTAAAAAAGTATTCCAAAAACCAATCTCAAGTTGAAATTTCGTGGTCAAAGACGAACACCCTTTAGCAGGAGAAATTGGGGTCTAGTTCGAAAATCTTCTTCATCTGCATGGTTATTGTAGAGCATAGCCTCTTCCTAGAATTGTTTTTGGCTCACGTTGAAGAGTTCAAATGAAGTGCTACCAAGGAGGCATAAGCCCCATCAGTAATATTCATCAATGAATCGTGTCCGTCTTTCTCAACAAAGGCTCCGTTTTTCACAACCGCAATAATATCAGCACCCTTTATGGTGCTAAGGCGGTGAGCAACTACGATGGTTGTTTGGTTTATCATTACTGCATCCAGTGCCTCCTGCACCACACGTTCCGATTCTGCGTCTAGAGCACTCGTTGCCTCATCAAGCAGAAGGATCCTGGGGTTCTTCAATATGGCTCTCGCAATGGCAATCCGTTGCTTTTTGCCAGCCAGACAACTTAACTCCTCGTTCTCCGACTAAGGTCTCGTAACCCTGCGGCAACGAGCTGATGAACGCGTGTGCATTCGCTGCTCTTGTTGCTTCCATGATCTCTTCTTCGGTTGCATTTCCCTGTTTGCCATAGGCTATGTTGGCGTGGATGGTATCATTGAAGAGTATCGGCTCTTGGCTAACCAATCGTATTTGTTGCCGCAGCCAACTTATTCTTAACTTTCTGATATCAATGCCATCCAAAATTACACTTCCTGACTTAGATCATAAAATCTTAAGATGAGGCTAATGACAGTTGACTTCCCACTGCCACTTTCTCCAACAAGTGCAACAGTCTGCAAATATGATATAAAAACCAGGGTTTCAAATCGTGGTCGCTGTCGCGTTTTCGGTTATTTTGGATTTACCGTGATTGCAGCCGTCGCGGGCGCTATTACAGCCATCGCGGGTAACTCGGATAGCGGCGAAACCGTTATATCGCGATCGCGGACCGTTTTTTAAAACCCTAATAAAAATTAAGCAAAATGAATTCTCTAGTAGTAAATGAGATTTGGGTCTTAAATAGAATTGATCTCATAAATACCTTTCCAGCAGGTATCGTGAGACACAAGTCTTTGAATACTTGGATGTCTGGTCGAGTCAGATACTTGAAGCTGACTTGTTCTAACTCAATATTGCCTGTTACAGTGGCAATTGTCAAGCCATCCTCGCTGCTCGAGTCAATCGGGGTTTTTTTTTATCAAGAATGTCGAATATCGAAGCTGCTAAATCCTTGGCTTTATTCGTGTCAGGAGCCAAGGCACTGGTTTGTGAAACACCAATGGCCGAGACTGTCAATGCAAAGAAAACCTTGAATACTTCATCAAATGTTGCTTTCCCATGCTTCACAAGCACAGCTCCAAGGTAGAAACAGAAGGCATTTGTGCAATATAAGGCAAAGAAAGAGAATCTGTACCCGGTACCGCTTACAAGTCCGAGACGGACTCCCTGTTTCATGGGGGCTTCGCATTTGAGTTGGTACAAATCCACCTTCTGTTCCTAACAAAAAGATGCGACAGTTCTGATACCTCCAACAGCATCATTAGCTACTTGGCTTGCTTCTTCATACTTCAACAGCATTCACATTGAACATATACATATATATACTTTTTAGTATAACTGAATCAACCCCTTCATCTAAATTGTTCAATTGTCATAGGGTACCACTGACCTTTGCATCAGCACTGAATCCCTTCAGAAATTTGGTCTGCAAGTATCCTTGAATTAATGTAAATGGCATGACAGCTAGGAATGCGATCGCCAAAATCCAGTTAGCAGTAAATGCTATGACTAATCCTGCTATGATAGTAGCTAAATTTTGTACAATAAGGGCCAGGCTATCGCCAACTAGATTTCTTACAGTCGATGCATCAGTTGACAGTCTTGCTCCGATGGGGCCACTGAGAGGTTCAAAAGAAAGATTGTTGTTAAAGCAGCAAGAAATTTCACAGCATGAGAAAGTTTTTAAAAAAGGAAAAGGTTGCTTGAAATGCACCTAGAATTCGCAGGATCATCGAACCAACCGATATTTTGGTGGACTACCTTCTTAAACATCATGGAATGAATTCTTTCAACCAGTTTTCTGCCTGCAATTCCAAAGAAGAAGTTCTGCGCCGGTCCAATAATTAGAGTAACCACACCTAATCCGACGTAACTAAGTGCCCATGCCCTGGAATTCTTTAAAAAAGCTTAATTGGGGAATCATAGAATGATTTAATGGCTGATAAGAAAAGGAGACCAAATATAGGAAATACTAGTCCATTAATAGCTGCAGCAATGGAGCCAATCAATAGGACTGGAACCTCAGGCTTGTTAAGATTCACCAGCCGTCTAATTGAAACTTTTTTGCGTCTTTCACGCTTTAGTTTCATCCGGTACGCTTCTCTCTTCGCCTGTTTCTTCGGTTTCAGCAAAGTTAACTAGACTGGGAACACCGATAGTATACGTGAAGGATTGTCGGCTTGATGATGATGCACTTCTGCTTGTAGACCTTACCAAAGACGTACTCAATCTCTGGCTTACAGACCGGCTAATTTCCTTATCTGAATCAGCAGTTTCATCCGACTTTTCGGTTTCCTTCCCTCGAGCACCATCACCTTCTTTATCTCCCTCCTGCAAACAAACTAATTGGGAAAAAGCCCCTTCCGGATCTTTGATCAACTCCTCATGCGTTCCTAGATTTAATCTCTTAATGTTGCAAAATTGTGAAATAATACAGAAACAAATGTCAATGAAAGCTGGCTTTGAGATGGTACCTTTCTCCACAAGTTTCCCTAAGCGCACCACTGCTATCATGTCCGCATTCCTGATAGTTGTCAACCGATGGTCCACCACCATGGTTGTCCTATTGGACATCACTTTCACCACTGCTATCATGTCTGCATCACTGATGAAATAAACCCTCCAATGAATGCTGTTAGAAGCTGTATAAACTTTCCAACCTGTCACAAAAACCATGTATCGTAATCCTCCTGTATATACACACACATAAATAATATACACATAGATGTATATAGTATTAACCTTCTCGCCCATTGCCTCTTGAATGAGTATAATATCCCCCAACATCCTCCCGACAACTTCACCAGTCGTTGTTTCGGTGTCGAAGAATCCGATGTCCTGTTGGAGTATGGTTTTTTAGTAAAAGGCACGGATGCGGGCTGCCTGTCTTTCTCCGGTCACCATCCAGCATGTTACCTCTGTAAAACCTCCATAGATATTAAACATGCAAATACATAGGAAGCTAACTTATCAAAACAGTTGTTAATTATACAGTATTCAACACTTTCGTGTGAATGAAGTAATGCACGAATAAATCCCCAGGTATATAAACTTCACTGCAACCTGAAAAATCAAACAAATAGAAAATTAATTCATTAATTAATATCATTAAACTTTATTAGCATTACTAAGCAACTATGACTAGTTCACTATATGGTGTGTGTATGTATAATATATATATATATATATGCTCACAGCTTAAGCAGTATTTCCCATCATAACAATTAATAATCCGATAATATTATGAATAACTTCGAATCAAATGATAAAGAGTTTAATATTATTATGATGGGATTTCTAATTTTATGATCGTAAAACATTGCTTCAGCATGATATCACGAGAAAATATTCCAAAGAAAACGAGAAGGAAAGGCAAGAAAGTTGATTTTATATAACCACCGAGATTATTTTAACGACATGGGATCCATCGGCGCCGGAGAATTTATCGATTATTTCGCCGAAAATGAGAGTCTTGAGTGGCTGCGTCATTCCATTGGCCATGGCGGCGATGGTTCCCGCCGTTATAAAAAACACGTCCAACCTATCAGCGAACGCAAATAGCTTGTAAAATGGCACTTTCTGTTGATCGGCAGATTTCTTCTTCTTGTTGCCGCCATTGTTGTTACTTTTATCTTTTTCTTCTGAAGCTGCTCCGTCACTTCTCACTACTGATGATGATCACTACTGATGATGATCCGTGGTCGTCATTATTAAATTCCACCATGATTTTTTTATTTCCTTCTTTCGATAAAAAAACTAAAAGAAAAAGAATCAACCCAAATCTTTGCTTGGGTTAGCTAATCGATCTGGTGTTTTCAACCAGAAAATATTTCTTTTAGATTAAACCGAAAAATGAAGACATAACCATAAAGATCTGGAGAGAGAGAGAGATGTAGCGAAGTGTGGAAACAAGTTCACAGAAAGAAAGAACTTATGACGTGTGTAAAATATCTACCTATTTTTCTGATAGGTTAAATTAATCTTGAATAGAAGATAATTTCTGTTTAATTATTTGCTTTTATATAAATTTCAATTATTTATTCACTCATTCAAAATTTAATATATATATATATATATATAGTACAAAGAGATTTCACATTTATAAATTTTATCTCTCTATTTCATAACAAAATTAGTCTAATATTTTTTTAAGTCTTTATTAATTTAAATTAATTTTTTTATCCCTTCTAGTCTTTAGAATTAAATATTTAATATGTTCTGATTAATTTAAATATATATAATTTATATCTCTTGATATTTAATTCTAACTCTATCCTTAATTATATATAAATTATAAAATAATTGATTAATATTTTACATATAAAATTTTAAAATATTGATTTCTAGTTAATAATGTAATAATATTATATAATTTAATCAATTTTTATTTTTAAATGTATAAACATTAAAATTATAAAGTAACATAATATAACTAACTAAAAGAGGAAACCGAAAATAAATTAGTAGAAACTTGTTACCAACTCCATGTTTATTTTATACCTTTAAAAAGTACGTAAACTATACGAGTGGCCATTAAATTATGGAAAAAAATCATTTTGATCATTGATGTTTTAATTTGATCAAATAAATAATTCAACTTTTTAAATGATTCAATCAAATCACTCTCCATTAAAAACTAATGACGCATCTGACGTGACTGTTATAAACTAACAACGAGGTAGATGAATTATTTTTATATTATTATTAATGTCATATGGGAAATAATAAAATGCACGTATTGAAAAACCCATTTAATACATAACTGAAAAAGACAAATCCTTTTAATGTATTTTTTTGGAACACTTAACCCGGTTAATGGGGATTCATTCATCTGTTTCATTATCTTCATACGGTTGAAATCTATTAACACTTTCAGTGCTAAAAATCAAATTGGTTTATAGCTAAACGCTAAATTTTTGGGTGTAGGGTAAACATTGATTTGATCAAAAAAGATTTCTGCGTAAAGGATAAAGAATGGGTATAAGATATCATCGCGAGGAAAAAGGATTCAAATGTGAGTTGTAGTAAATGCTTAAATGTTTGTTCTTTTAGAAACCCCTAAAAACAAATTTTAAAACTCTTCTGCAAAAAAGAAAAAAGAAAATATTTAGGATTTTTTCCTGTTAGAAACACAAGATATATCTTTAGGGGTTATATATACATATAGTATATGTGAATTTAATGTTTACTGATTATATGACTTTTAAATATTTCTTCTTTTAAAAATCCCTAAAAACAAATTTTAAAACTTTATCGGTACGAATGAGATATTGTTTACTGATCATATGGGTTTCTTCTGATAATATATGAG